ATGGCTAACTCACAGATCCAACCCTGAAACAACCTCTGGGCTGATCTAAGTCAGGGCATGGCTAACTCACAGATTGAACCCTGAAACAACCTCTGGGCCCATCTAAATCAGGGCAGCTATAGCTAACTCGCAGATCAAAATGGTTTTTATCTTTTAGAATATAGGATTTCGCAGATGGATGAAAACTGGAGAACCCAGGAGAATAACCCTCGAATCAAGGGAGAGACCCAATATATTCTGCTCACATATCAGTGATGCCAAGTCCAGGAATTAAAATCCGAGATCCCAGAGGAGAGGCAAGTCGGTACTACAACCCTTAACACAAAGATTACACATGTAGCTGAAGACAGTTTGTGATTCAAAGTTCATCACCGAAAAATATAAAGAGAGAAAAATATTCATCTAAAAAAACGAAAAAACGTTTGAAACAAACTTACAGTTTCTTCAGGGTTGTCTTGAATCCTTCGACAAATACCTTTCAGTCCGCCATGTTGACGAATCAGATTACGATTACTATGGACGGACAAACAGACAGACAGAAAGTCAGTCAGTCAGACAGACAGACAGAAAGACAAGCGCATTGGTTAAAATATTTTTGGCACGCTATCTACCAATGGATTCTAAAGGCCCGTCTAGACAAGCAATGTTGTCGCGCGACTTGAGCGGTGATTTCAATTGGGGTTTTATCGCAACCCAAATCCCAGGTGTAAACGCCCGGCGATGTTACAGCGACAGATCGCAGTCACTGTAAATTCAATAATGCTCGAAATATAGTGCAACTATTTGAACTTGAAAATTAACATGTTCTAATTCAGTCAACTTGGCAGCGTTCTGTCGTGCCTAAAATCAACGTTGAGATTAATCATTGCGAAACTCGCGCTATAAAATTGCTGGTGTAAACGGGCTGAAAAATGGTTCTTAAAAACCTCTATTCAACAAAGATTCGTTTTGTTAACTTGCCTTGGTGTCGAAGCAAGAGCACTAAGGGCCCTTGTGGTCCTCTCAAGGACATTCTGTTGGGTTGTGTGGGAGACCAGCCCACAAAGGGTCTTTACTCCACCGTGTTCATCAACTGCTTCACAGTTTCTACGATCAAACCAAATTGAGAATTAGTAAAGTTCAATATTTTGAACGGACACGTTATCAATGCCTTTAATCGTATTTTCCTGCCATCCAACATGGCTTCCGTCATGTCGCAAACCCGTAGAGCGTTTTCACGTGACGTCACAGCAGCCATATTGGTGTTCCAAAACAATACACTTTCTATCCTCGAGGAATTTAACTTATTTTTATGCAAAAAACTGTGCAGAAAGTTTCTATTGTTTGGTACACCAATATGGCTGCCTTGTCAAGTGAGTGACAACGCTCTATATTGTTATTGTGAAAGTAACTGACCACTTTCATAATGTCATCAGCTCATCAGCATAAAGGTATAAAATCTAAGTATTGATGGCAATTGTCTTTTTCATATTCAATTGGTTTTTTAAATCTCACCGACTTTTAATGGTATCTGTGAATAGCTGACTTATAAACGAGGCTAAACCGGTGCAAATGTGTTTGTGGTCAACCCTAACCCTAACCCTATACATCGAATGCGAAACTGGATTGTTTACTCTTGAAATTCACCTTTTGAGAGTCAGCCCAAAACGTGTTAGGTTGTGTTAGGGTCACCAATAAGTTCGTTCTCGGATTCCCTTACAAATTCACTGTATTTAAAAAGAAAATTTAGATCGATTTCTTAAGTTAGCTCTCTAAACAGTGGCAAGAAAAGCTTCAATCAAGTTAGAAAAATGATATTTTGCTTGTATTTAGAGAGCTAACTAAACAAACCGAGTAAATAAATGTTTAAAAGTCAGTAAATTCGCACAGAAATTTGAGAACAATGTCCAAATCTCTTGCTGACCGCAACACAATGCAACATGTTTTATACCACGTGATGGCTAGTGCTCAAAAGGTTGAATTGGTAAAATACTGGAAAGATTTCTTTGGCTTTATGTTTGTCAACAAAATAACATCGCTTACTTATTGTTGTCCATGCACAATACTTCTAGTGCCCAGGCAATGTGTTCTTGTAGCTGGGTAATACAAAACAACAACTCCTGTTAACTGATATATGCCAAGTGATGTGGGTGGGATGAATGGGTGAATGCATGGATGCATGGATG